CCCCAAAACCCCAAAACCCCAAAACCCCTATAAACATACATCTAATGGGAACTATAAATTAATTAAATGGATCATCAAGAACACTTTAATAGGAACGATAAAGCCTGGGGCTCAATTGCTGAGAAGTACGAATCAGTTTTAGAGAATACAACTATTCAGAGCTCAGTTACTCTCTACTCTCTGACAAATGCCAAAGATGCTGAAAGAATCTGTGAAGTTGCTGTTGGTCCTGGCCAGGCATCTCGAATGTTTGTATCAAGCATTATGAAGAAAGGCGCCTCTTACTTCGCAAGCGACATCGCTGACGGCATGAACGAGAGATTCACGAAGGGATTCCAAGACTCTGACTTAGCCTCTAACCCTAAAGTTGGGTACGAGTGGGTTGAGACTGAAGAGGAGGTTGATGTGGCTGGGCAGGCTGGCAAGGAACTGAGAGGGGTTGATAGGAAGGTGTTTCATTTGAAGGCGAATAATGAGAAGCTTCCGTATGCTAGTGAGGTGTTTGATTGTTATTTGGCCAGCCTCTCTTTGAACTTAGTCAATAATCATAAGAATCAGATCTCAGAGTCATATAGAGTACTTCAGAAAGGTGGAGTAGCTGGGTTCACCGTACTTGGAAGACAGGAGAAATGCAACTATATTACTATAATCCCTGAAGTTATTGAGAGTCTTGGGCATATACTTAGTGCTCCAAAAGACCGTCCTCATCCAACATATCTTGCAGATAGGAAGAAGATAGAAAAAGATTTTAAGGAGGCTGGCTTTTCTTCTGTGAAATCTTACTACACGAATAAACTTAATTTTGAAAGATGAGTTAGACCTTTTCAAATTTATGGCTGTTGCACCTGTGACAGAGGAATTCTTTGGAGACCTTAATGATGAGCAAATGGAGGAATTTATGGAAGAATATAAGAAACAGTACAATGATAGGTTTGGAAAGGATACTTCGGATCCGCTTGAGTGGGAAATCTTAGTAATCATAGCTACAAAGTAACTAGACATTATTAAAATAAGACCGAAGTCTTTTTATCCAATAAGTTAATTTTTTCTAGGGGTTTTGGGGTTTTGGGGTTTTGGGGTTTTGGGGTTTTGGGG